TCTGATTCTAGTAATCGCATGTCAGTTTAATGTTTGGAGTTCTGAAAGCTGTTAGATTCTTTAGGTGTTTGATAGACCCTTTTAAATCGAAAGCACACACACTCAGGCGCTATGGTCTTTGGCACTTCATAGTTACCTATTTCATTGATGTGCGAGATGCACCTTGCATGGTTAGCATTATGTGATGGGTCAGGAAACATTACACATATCATCTCCAAATAGAAGTGAACTGCCTTGTAATATAGCTCAACATTTGCAACTTTAATGCAAACATCCTTGAACTGTATATGATCCCACGCATCTAGCGAATGGTTCATAATTGTGGTGGCAGCATTGTCAAATTCATCACACTGTATGTACGGGTAGGTAAGTTCTTTCCAGTGGTGTTGTTCATCACAAGCTCGAATAAATGCTAAGAATATGTTGCTTGAGAAACATGCCATAACTTTCTTTGTAGAAGAATATCCTCTACTGTTCACATATAAGAAATTCGCATGACTGATTTTAGTTTCTAGACTGATAATGTTTCAGCTTTGAAACACCAAATTAATTAAGGTGGAAATGGATGTGCAATGAGACTTGTCTTATGTGCTGAGATTTAGCTCATCACCTAAATTAATTGGGTAGAGAACAGTTTCAGAACCTATCATTTTTGAGCTAAAATTGGAGAACACTAGAACAATGAGTTTGGATCTTTGTTTTCTCAAATAAAGCTTTGCTTGTAACTAATTCTTTTGTTATATAGTATTTCCCTAGGAATTGTTGGTTTGAGTGAACCAAATTTGGTTGATTAGTGCCTCCAAGTTAAGGTCTGCTGTTTACTTTTGTAATTCTGTGTGCTAATCTACGATGACTGTTTAAGACTGAGACTTGAATACTATAAGTGGGTCCTAACTCTAGTAGAACTGTTAATACATGTGCCTTGTCATCATGTTTTGCTCAACGCTCATGACCTGTTTTTTTTTATATTTTTTAGTTTGAGACATTCCGTCACTTCTCTATGCTAGTATATAACTAATATGTTCCTTCGCACGACCTTACTGTCTCAGGCCTTTTTTTAGTCTTCTCTTTTTTGGCAAGCCTTTTTTTTAGTTTTCGCTAGGTTGGTTTTTGGATTTGGTCTTGCCCTACAGGTTATATGAGTTGGTTTTTGAGTTCTTCTTTGCTAGTTTTTAGCAGGTTTACCATGTTTTATGTGTTGGTGTTGGGAGCTTTGTGTCCTTCATGCATGTGAACTTTTTTAGCTTTATGAGTTATAGCTGTTGTTTGGATTTTTTTTTGTTATGCCCATTTATGTCTTTGCCTTTTAGTAGATCTGTTTTTTTTGTTAGGCTTTACTTTTTTTGCTGTGGCAGTCACGTGTATTTGTCCTTTGCCTTGAGGGTGCTGATAACTTATATGGTTGTGTAGATTTGCATTATTTTTCTGTTTGAGTTTGAACTTTTTTGTTGATTTTAGTTGAGTTTTTTATTTGTATTTTTGTTTCTTTTGTGTGTACATGTGTTTGCTCGCTTTGGGGTGTGTGTGTGAGTGTGTCTGTGGGTGTGGGTGTTTGTGTGTGAGTGTCTTTTTTTGTGTGTACATGTGTTTGCTCACTTTGGTGCTTGTGTGTGTGAGTGTGTCTGTGGGTGTGGGTGTTTGTGTGTGTGGGTGTGGTTGTATGTGAGTTTTTTTAATGAGTGAGTGTTCTGTGTGTGGTTGCTAGCTTTGGTGTGTGTGTGTGAGTGTGTCTGTGTGTGTTTGTGTTTGTGTGTGGGGGTGCATGTGTCTTCTGGCGTTGTTGGTGTGTGTGTGTGGGCGTCTGTGTGTTTGTTTAGAGCTCTCTCTTTCTCTGCGTCTGTGTGTGTGTTAGTGTTTTTGTGTGTGTGGGTGTGTGGGTGGGTTGTTGTTGCTACTGATTTAGCTGCTGGTGCTGCTTTTTGTCTTTCCCCTATTGAGGGCCCCAAAGCCCGTTGAATGAGTTGTTACTGTTGTTGTTGTAGTTTTTGCTGCTCGCTGATGTTGCTGATTAAGCTGTTGGTGCTGATATTTGTCTTTTGCCTTTTGAGAGCCCCAAAGCCTGCTGATTGAGTTGCTATTGTTGTTTTTGCAGTTGTTGCTGCTTTCTGCTGCTGCTGATTAAGCTGCTGGTGCTGCTTTTTGTCTTTTGCCTTTTGAGGGCCTCAAAGCAAATTGATGCTGCCTAGTTTTTTCATGGGATGTCCACTGATGTTTCTTATTTATATGTGAGATGTTTAGAGTTGATTTAAACCTCTTATATATTTTTATATTTGACTTGTCCAATTATAGATGTGGTGATTATTGATGTGTGAGGGAGCAATAGAAGGTGTAGTTGAGCTGAGTTTTTTAGTTGTTATTTTCAGAGTTGTTTGCTAGCTTTGATGTGTTTGCTAGCTGCAATCTTTTTCTAAGTAAACTATTTGCTGGTCCTGAAGTTGTTGTCTTGAGTTGTGGCGTTGTTCTTTATAATCTTTTTTTTCTGATTGCCTGGAGCTGGGCCGTACCGACCCATACGTATTATACATCGTTAAGCCAACGTCGCTGCGCGTAGCAACTCGGGCTGACAGCCTCGCATACGCACGTAGGTACTGTACCTGTGTACTCCTACGTGGGTGCAGTTCAGATAAACGGATGGTGTGACCGCGGTAGTAAGTACTCGTACTAATAATAATAATAACTGTAGTGTGTGCTTAAAGTGATCTATCCGATCAGCTTGTTCGTGAGAATGCAGGGAGGGAGGGAGCGAGTGTCGTCTCTGCTCTCCACCGGTCACTGGTCTTCCAGTTTGCGCTCCCTTTGTCTCTAGTGGTCTATAGTAACAACCTTTGCCCTGCACACTGCAACGTGCTGCTCTCCTAGGCCACTTGATGACTTTGGAGAGTTTGCAGGTTATTACTATCCTTGTTTTTGCTAAAATTCGACCTGATACTTATCTGATGTCGTTTTATTTATATTGTGCTACAGGGCTCCCTGGTGTTCTCTTTGTGCTCCCGGATTCGTATGTTGGTCCTAAGTACAAGGACTATAGAGGTAGTTTTCTTGCCTCACAGATATAGTTTTGTTTTGTGGTATCACCGTATGATTTCTCGTAAGGCATATGTTGGTATATGTCAGTGATTGATTGCTTGTAGAAGATTTGGTCTAGCAAAGTGGATGTGTTGTAAACATATCTCATTATGGAAGCATGATGAAACCTGTGTATTAATTTCAATCTTCCAATGCCTACGGATTGATATCTAGACTTCCTTTTAACCTTACCTGAATGAGACGGGAAATTAGGTTCATTATTGAATTTGTTAGAGATATGGTTCCATTTTAATGTTGTCTCGTCAAACCAAATCTTATGCTGTTGATATTCTAGTCCATCTTGGCAAAGCTGTGAAGCCTTGTGGACAATGCCCAGCTTTGAATGCTAATGGACTGATAACAAGTCTCTCTAACGGTTCTATGCTTCAATGAAATGGGGCTCAGATCAATAGGGATGAGACACTGCAAGCTGATTTCATGCCCAATCTAGAGGCTTTTATATGTTTTCTCTTCAGTATTTGAACCAGTGTCCAATCCCAACCACACTGGCCTTATTGTGTTTTATCCTTCTCCCTGTCACTGAAATTGGTGGGCTTCCTTGCTTGTGTACATGTGTTTTGCTAGATTTGATGTTTGCATGCGCATGTGCGCTTTATTGTTGCGCTACTGTTGCATCTTGGATGTTGGAGCAGTAGTAAACTGCAGTTGATGTTTTGCATGCATAGATAACTTATTAGGAGTGGTTGCAGCTGCAGGATGTTATGTTCAGATTGGAATGGGGAAGAGGCAGCCAGAAACCATGACCAAAGGAGTCAAAGCTTGTGATGGTGAGAGGCACAATGACGATGAGGCTTGGGGATGGCAGGCACAGCATAGTAAGAAAAGAGAAGAACTGTAGCTGCAACATCCATCAGTTTAGTTAGTCCTCGCAAGAGCAAAAGCAAAAGCAAAAAAAAAAGATGAATGTGTATGCATGTGTAGTGCGGGCGTGCATCAACTTTGCTATGCTCTTTAGTCTTTAGGCTTAGTTGATAACTTTTAGTTGTATTTGTTAACGGGTTTTGGATATTGTTGGATATTGTCTTGTGTTATAAAAATCTGACAGATTTTTTCTTTTTGAATCTGTCAGTTTTCCATGGTGACATGTCATCATCTCATTTGTCAAGAACTCGACAGATTTTTTGTTTCGAAATCTGTCGACAGTTGTGTAGATAGACCCATAATTTTATATGCACAGGGATTTTTATTGACTAGGAGAGTAGGAGTAGACTGGAAACTGCACGCAGCACGCTGGAGAGGAGACTGGAAAAAAAGATTTTTGACCTATTGCTTCATGTCCCTAATACAACGATCTTCCTATATGTATATATGGGCGGGTTACATTTGATCATCATTCAGCCAAAAGATCGACTAACCAACCTCCTAAAAAAACTAACACCAATTGTATCTGAAACTACTCGCCCGGGATCCCATGCACCGTCCGACTCCGACGCAACAGAGTACAGACCGCCCTTCTTTCCATGTCGAACGCTGTGACAGCCCCCACTTGACACAGTGGCTGATAGAGAAACTAGAGATGGCATGGTTTCAGCAGCCCATTCAGCTTACAGTGCAAGCAATGAGGTCATCTTCAATTCAACCTCTAAAAAAAGACAATGCAAGCAATGAAGCAATCCATTCTCGTTGACAAGTCACTAACAAATTAGACAAACATCTAGGAGAAGACAAACAATAAATCAACTGCCTGTAAATTGTAAAGGGTGGGGCAAAGAACATTCTGCTTTGTGTGGCTAAACCTCTGTTGTTATCTGTTAGCAATAGAAAAATCTATCATTGATTGTGACAGATAGTACAACAACTTTCTAACTAGTATAAACTGCACATCCAGTGACCTATCGGAGTTCAGCAAAACTGGATAAACTTCTGAATGAGTGCAACAATTGGAAACTCAAAATTATTCAAAAACTGGAACCTCAACATTCAAAGTACAGCCTGACTAACTTCAGCGACTCAAACGGTGTCTGCAGCCTCCATTCCCTCTGCTTCTTGCTCAGGGGCCTGCCCTTGCCAGACTGCTGCCGGTTTATCTTCACGTCGGCTATGCCCCAGATGCACTCTCGCAGGTCCATGTCATAGGAAACTAGCCTCAGCACGCCGTCGCCTTCTAGAGATGTGGCTGCCTCATCGCTTGTTGTAGTGTATCTGACATACATTGCCCGTTCTTTGAAGCGTTCGAGCTCTTCAGGGATACGGATAACTCTCTCCACGCCAGGGGATGACACCTTTAAAGTGATTAACCAAAAGTGTGTGCCTTAAACCAAGTAGAGCTACAGGCAGAGTCTTTCTGATGTTTGTTTCTTTAAGATAGTGGAAATCTTTAACTAGTTGTATTGTGTACAGAGGCAAATTACCTCCAACGATATGTTCTTTGGTATCTTTCCTGTTGACTCTGCATCGTCCAACTTTGCACGGTATGCAATTGTGTATGCTTCAATGTCATCTATAGTTGGAGAACCATACCTATTTTATCAAGCACTTGATGAGAGGTATTACATTAATCATGTCTAAAGAAGAAAACTTTGACCTTAAGGTTATCTGAAAAGCAATTTATGGCTGCACAAACCCAAGCCTAATGAAAACCAGGTAGGAATATATCAACCTGCCCCAACCCCACTCTTCCACCATCGACAGTTGACACTAAAAAAGAACTGAATCAAGTAGAGCCAATTAATATGTTCTATAGTGTTGCGCCTGAGTACGATGCCTATGCTTTTACTTTCATAGTTAGTTCATTGCTTACTGGTATCTACATTTGAGTACATCAAAATATGTCATTTTCCAGTATATCTACCGTATGCATGTTCTGATGCATATAGGCCGCAATCTGGATTTACTGAAACTCAACCTTCGAACAGATGACTGAAACAGTGAAACCTCCTCTCAAAATCCTATGCACCAACATATTAACCCACTACATGCAGTCATGCATCTATAAAATTTTCAGGCTCAAACAAGCTGACATATACATGAACAGACTCTGGAAACAACTGCATATGTCTGCAAATAGATACATACCTGGTGGACATCTTCTCAATGCGTACTCTAATGGTCAAATTTGCAGCTGTCTTGAAAGCATAGATCTTCAAGTCATCATCGAATGATGCTGAGACCTGTTCTGCCAAAGCTAACGCTTCCTTGTCCCACCATGCGCCAGCAAGGGATATTCCGCCGCCAGCACCTCCATCTCCAGCCTCCAGAACATAATTAAATGTTTATATAATCAAACTGTATTTATCAACCAAGTAAAGTAAAACTTACATAAAGATCCTGTTCATCATCACTCTCACAATCATCTTCAGAGTCATAGTCGTCCTCAAACTCTTCGTCACCATCCATTATATCTGCACGATTTGGTGAACAGAGTAACTTTATTTGTTATAACAAAGTACTGTTTGGCTTATATATGAAACTAATAATACTAACTGAGCAGGAGACATCAAAAGTCATGAGCAGACAAGTATGATGGTTGCTGAAGCACTGTATGTTTTAGAGCACACAAGTTTAGATAGATGCAATGTAAATGGGAACCATTACATAACCCAAGCCCATAAGCCATTGTTGCATGTTCGCTATAGAAGGAAATACATCACTACATTAGCCGTCCCAATTTACTAACAAGACTGTTGCACCTCCAACTGTTTGGAAATGGGCTACGCAAATGAGCAATGACATCTTCCCTCAATTCTGCGGTGTTTGTGGGTGCCAACAATGTGCATACAATTGCACATTCTTCTGAAACAAAGGGAAGAGTCTACATCATACTGCACGTCTTCCCATGGATGCTTTATAATGACCGATAGGACACAAGCACATGAAAAAGGATCAGATGTGCAAATTTTATGGGGGGGGGGGAGGGATGCATCACAGTGTGAACTGTCAGATAAGGGGAGCCAAGAAATAGAGCAAAGTGCAGGGTCCAAAATCCCCAGTCGTCCCAACCGGAAACTCCCAACCATCATAATAAGAGATAAAACAAACATCACCAAGTTCACAAAATCCATTACCTCCTCCTTCTTCTTCAGCATCGAAGTCCTCCTCCTCTTCCACCTCCTCGTCCTCCTCCAACTCGTCGGTGAAATCATCAGACACCTCCTCATCTGGCGGATCTTCGCTATACCCTTTCCTCTTCTTCTTGGCAAACGACACCACCGCTGGGGCATTCCGACGAACGATGGGTGGGCATGGACATCCAGAAAAGGCAGCACTCACGGCAGCGGTAGTGAAGGGCAACAAGCCGAGCAGAAGTCGAAACCTTGATGGCCTGATGGGGAGGCGCCCATGAACGATGTCTCCGACGACCAAATCCATCGGTTAACGGATCACTTCAGAGCCAAGATTCAAGAACCATCGAGCGTGATTCATCAAAACTCAAAAAAGAACCATCAAGCGCCCGAACGAGATGAGCTTATCCTCTGTCAGTTGGTAACGGAGTACGCCAACAGTGGCGTAAAACGTCTTTCATAATGCGCCACCACTATCGCAGCCTCGCTTCTTCCCACTTTTCAATGGAGAACGAACGAATCTAGTACACCTCGAAGGCTCGAAGAACAAACACAACACAAGATAGCGTCGCCACGCCGTTTAGGGTTTGTGGGGCAAGGGAATCAAGGAAGCGGGACGTGAGGGGTGGGAGCGGAAGGCCGGGAGCGAGAGGGAGGTGGGAGCGATCGTCTTGCACCGGGCGAGGCGGAGGCGAGGTGGAGCGCGGTGGGGACATCGCCGGACTCAAGGACGACAATGGCAGCGCTTGAGGCGGTGCAACGAGAGGAGTGGTGGTGGCGCGCAGGCCGGGCGTGGGAGGCCGGGCAGGGTGCGCCGCGATGGCTGCATGCTGAGGAGGAGCGAGGCGGGGCGGTGGTGTGCTCCTCGGGCGCGCGGCCGGAGGAGGACGAGCAGCAGCCGAGGAGCAGAGCCCGGATGCCGCCGTGGCGAAGCTGGAGGAGGCGACCGCGCCGTGGTTGTTGCGGGTGGTGGTGGGCGCGACATTTGGTGGGCTGTGGGCGCGTGGGTCGCCGCGGCCGGAGCGGACCCGCGCGCCCACCACACCCGAACCACGCACGCTGCCGCCTCCATTTCATGCAAGCGCGCGTCAAGGCCTCGCTCCTCGCTGCGTCGTCCCCCTCGGCCGCGCCGCCTGGGAGCACACCACAGCGCCGCCTCGCTCCTCCATGGCGGCCGTCACGGCGCACCTGCTGCCGGCCTCCCCTACGCCTCAAGCGCCGACCACCTCGCCTCTCTCAGCTGCACCGCCTCCACACCACACATCATCCTTGAGTCCGGCGACGTCCCACAAGCCTCCTCTCGCCTCCGCCTCGCTCCCAAAGGCCAAGACGATCGCTCCCACCTCCTCTCGCCCCGCCTTCCGCTCCCACCCCTCACGCCCCGCTTCCTCGATTCCCTTGCCCCACAAACCCTAAATGCTGCCCCAAACCTCCCTCTTCCGCCCCTGCCGCTGCATTCCCTGCGAGGATCCACCCTAACGCCACAGTGTGCAAACCGAATTCCGGAGTGGAGCCGTGTGGCTACTCGACCGTGCAAGCCGCTGTGGACGCAGCTCCAAACTACACCGCCGGGCACTTTGTCATCGTGGTTGCCGCAGGTACATACAAGGAAAATGTTGTGATTCCGTATGAGAAGACCAACATTTTGCTGGGCCGTGTTTAGTTCAGCACCGATTCGGCGCCGCCGGAAAAACCGGACATTGTAGATACACTGTAGCGTTTTGTTTTTATTTGGTAATAATTGTCCAATCGTTGACTAATTAGGCTCAAAACGTTCGTCTCGCAAAGTACAACCAAACTGTGCAATTAGTTTTTGATTTCGTCAACATTTAGTACTCCATGCATGTACTGTAAGTTTAATGTGACGGAGAATCTTCTTTTTACATAGTGCCAAATTCTGGAATTTGGGGCAACTAAACATGGCCCTGATGGGGGAGGGTATAGGGGCTACTGTTATCACTGCGTCCCGGAGCGTGGGGATTGATGGGCTGGGAACTTATGAAACTGCGACGGTGGCTGTGATCAGCGATGGGTTCCGCGCGAGAGATATAACATTTGAGAACAGTGCTGGTGCTGGAGCTCATCAGACTATGGCATTCCGTTCAGATAGTGATCGGTCAGCGCTGGAGAATGTAGAGTTCCGTGGGCATCAGGATACCCTGTATGTCCACACAATGCGGCAGTTCTACCACAGGTGCCTTATTATAGGGAATTAGGGACAGTGGATTTTATATTTGGGAATGCCGCAGCGGTGTTTGAGGAATGTGTGATTAAGACTGTACCATGGTCCGAGGGAGCTCAGAAGCGCGCACGAAATGTGGTGGCGGCTAGTGGGAGGATCGATCCGGGGCAGACGACAGGGTTTGTGTTTGTGAATTGCACTGTGGATGGGAACAAAGAGTTTGTGGAATTGTTTCGGACAAAGCCACAGTCATACAGGCTGTATTTGGGGCGGCCATGGAAGGAGTATGCCAGGACATTGTATGTCAGCTGTTATTTGGGGACAGTTGTCAGGCCGGAGGGGTGGCTTCCATGGCGAGGTGATTTGCTCTCAAGACACTCTATTATGGAGAATTTGACAGTCGAGGCCCTGGTGCAAACCACACAGCAAGGGTTGAGTGGAGCAGTCAGACACCAGAACAGCATGTGAAACACTTTTCAACGGAGAACTTCATTCAGGGCCATCATCAATGGATTGCGTAGATCAGCGACTTATTGGCACCTTAACAGCATGATGTGAAAATTTTCTGGAACGGTAAATGCCTTCATCCATTATTCCAAGGATCTCGAGAAACCTGTGTTTCCTGTTAGAAAATCCAAACTGATGTGGTTTGTCCTTTTTTTTACTGAATCTGTACCTTTTTAAATTACATGTATTAGTTATAGTTTTGTTTTTGTAATTAAATTGTTCCTTTCATAGAGTAAAGATTGAAAATTGTTTTCTCTATAGAATATGATAGAACATCTTTTACTTTATTTACTCATAAAATATTAACATTCTGGCACGGCAAGAAACATTTTCTTTTAATATTTGCTAAACAAGTGGAGCGAGCCACCTAGGATTAGATTGAGGAATTTGTATCTCTCTGGATTAGATTGCAGGGGTTTCACCTACAGCCGGAGACTGAGAACACCATCCTTTGGGAGTCGACTGCTGATGGGAAATATTCTATGCTCTCAGCCTATCGGGCACAATTCCTTGGGGCGGTCGGGCGTTCCAACACCAAACTCATCTGGCAAGCTGGTGCAGAAAACAAATGCAAGCTGTTCGTCTGGATCCTAGTCCAGAACAAGATCCTAACGGTTGACAATCTTGCAATTGGAGGATGGCCTCACCATACTTTATGCCCCCTATGCAATGGACCAACAGAAACCAGACATACCTCTGTCTCCTGTGTTCCCTTTCTACCTTGGAACAGGAACGCGGATTCTGTACGCGGGGCGGGAGGTACCGCCCCTGATCGAACGACGCATCAGCAGGTTGGGCTTTGAGATTCGAGATGGCGGGAGCTGTCAAATTCGAAAACAGCCAGTAGTTTAGCAAGTAATGAGTCCAGGTTGGCTCTGACGTGGCACGATGGGAGATGCTTCCAGAAAGACATCCTGCTATGTGTCAGATATTGTGGGGGCTACCACTATAAGCCCAGACCTCTTCCTTGCAAGATACGCATTCGAAATGCAAGTGCATTTGTACCGATGCGGCGCCAAAAACACAGTTGAGAGTTGAGACGGCCGAGAGCAGGGAACGACGACGAACATGGCCGGAGGCGAATCAGGTGGCGACGCCATGGGTGCAGATCCGCAGCTTCTGCAGTTGCAACCCGACGCATCGGCGACTAGGAAGGAGTCTTGTCTTCCTCTTCCATCAGGTGTAGTAGTGGGTGAGGGGTGGCAGGGCGTTCCGCTGGTGGTGGGAGGCTGATGGATGCAGTCAGCAGGCATCGCCGACGACCAACAGCCGAGAGGTCGCAAAGGCATGGAAGCGAATGTGCAGCTGGATCCGTTACGACATTCACAGCCGCTGATTACATCGTTCTCCTACAAGAAAAGGTACATCTAAATACCATTGGTGTATACACAGAGTAGATCCAGTAAGAGATTAGCATTTTTTTTATCATTGCTTCTATTAGATGTTTGATCAAACAAAATCAGTGCACAGACAGCAGTTTTCTAACAGAAAAGGGATTAAAATTGCTGCCTGCCGTTCTAGCAAATGTCTGTTTTATTTTTTGACAATCCAAAAACAGCAATGTTTTTGATAAAAAAAGGTACATCCAAAATACCATCGATCTGCACTTTTCCATCTCATCCTAGCAAATGGAAATGCAGAACGTATGTGAGATGGAGAAGTGCTGAAGTGACGAGTGATAAAGCTTTGTAGTAACTGATATATAAACTGGTTGCAAAATTGGCCATTATTAGCATTGTTGGAACTGCAGGAAGCGAGGTCGCCAAGGACCAGACGCTAGGATAGCACCTGCAGAGGAAAGCGCCATCACACGGACTATGCGTACTGCTCGGGACCGTCCAGGCCATGCAATTTTCTTCCCCTACCAAGGCACGACTTTCAACTCATTTGAAGAGGCGAAAGAATTCTACAACCTTTACTCCTGGGAGGTTGGATTTGGGATAAGAACAGGAAGGGGGAAGATGAATGACAATAATTATAGAACAAAGATGGATATTGTGTGCTCATGCGAGGTAAGAGATGAGCTAGCTAAAGACATAAGTATATTTAATAGCACAACCAAGCTGAGTGTGCCATATGTTGATCTTTCAGAGTCTGTCTGTTTTATTTCAGTTTACATTCAGTTTCATCAGTTTAGTTTGTTTCAGAGTTTCAGAATTGTAAGAATATGCATTACGGGGAAGTAATTTTAAATGTGCAGGGTAGGAACCGCAATCCCAGAGCAAGCTCCTGCAGGACAGGCTGCAAAGCAATTATTAGGTTGCTGCGTTCCAAGAACCATGGATGGTATATAAGTAGGGTTGATGACACCCATAACCATGCTTTCTCTGAGAGTTATGGAGAAAACAAGCAATGGAACTCACACAGCGAGATTGACCCGCTGACGAAGGACTTTGTGAAGAAACTCAGAGAGAATAATGTTAGCATAGGGCGAGTATGCAGCATACTAGGTGTCACTAGTGACACGGCAAGAGTGCCTATCAGGAAAGAAGTGGTGCGGACACTATGTGCAAGATTGGCTCAAGAGAACATAAAGGATGACATTGGCAAGACCATGAAACTGCTAAATGAGATGAAGGAAAAAGATTCTGAAATGGCAATTAAGTTCCAGACAGACAGTGAGGGTAGAATCAAGTCAATGTTGTGGTGCACAGGGAAGAATAGAGCTGATTATAATCACTTCGGTGACGTGGTAACATTCGACACTACATACCGCACAAACTTATACAACCTACCATTTGGATTATTCATTGGAGTTAACAATCACTTCCAATCAATAATATTTGGAGGGGTTTTATTGACATCTGAAAAAACAGAGGACTTCGAATGGGCCTTTTCAAATTTCATTCAAATAATGGAGGGAAAGGAGCCAATAACAATACTGACAGGTATTAGAAACTTACTCTTATAGTCAAAATTGCACATCATTAAAGTTAAGATTGATTTCATTATTTCTTATGAATAGACCAATGCCAAGCAATGGTGGCTGCCATAAAAACAACAATGAAGAAGACGAGGCATCGGTGGTGCCGGTGGCATGTGCTGCGGAATGCAAAACAGAAGCTTGGAGGCGCATATAGCAAGAATGGGGGATTCAAGAAAGAGTTTAACAAGTTGATCACAGAAGAGGTGTCAGCAAGCAAATTTGAAAGAAAATGGAGGCAGCTAATTAGGAAATACAACCTCACAGAGAACAAATTTTATGTGGGCAAAGCCATACTTCATGAACATTTTCTGTGCAGGGATGACAAGTACGCAACGCAGTGAGAGTGCTAATCACATGTTAAAGGCAATCATCCAACGCTCGGCACCAATGCACATGTTTGTGAGAAAAATTTTAGAGTTACAGATTGACGGGAACGAGCAAGAAGATAAGGAGAATCATATAATAAAAAAGAGTGTGTTTGCCGTGAACATAATCAATAATGTTGAGTGTATTTGTCGCAGCACTTTGATTACATTGTTGTGGTTGGTGTTGCAGATGCAGAGAAAGAAAAGAATTGGGATGCCTATCGAGAGACATGCTGAAGCAATTTATACAAGGGCCATGCATGAAAAGTTCTACAATGAGCTTTATGAGTCAGGAGCGTATGCAATAAAGGACCGCGAAGGGGAGGACAGGTTTGTACTGATGCACACCAAGGCCATGTTTAGTTGGCCACCGATTTGGCGCCGCCGGAATTCAGTGACACTGCAGCGACACTGTAGCATTTGTTTGTATTTGGTAATAATTGTCCGATCGTTGACTAATTAGGCTCAAAACGTTCGTCTCGCAAAGTACAACCAAACTGTGCAATTAGTTTTTGATTTCGTCAACATTTAGTACTCCATGCATGTACCGTAAGTTTGATGTGACGGGAAATCTTCTTTTTGCATAGTGCCAAATTCTGGAAAATAGGGGAACTAAACATGGCCCAAAGAAATGGGGCAAGAGGATGGAAGGAAATTCAATGTACTTTGCAAGGAGATGATAAGATAGAATGTGAATGCGGTATGTATGAGCACATGGGAATGTTATGCAGGCACGCACTAAAGGTATATGTTTTCTTGAATGCATTACTTCTTACAATATGAAGGAACTGGATGTTATAGATTCATGCATTTGCAGGTGCTCGTTCATCTGGACAAGACTGAAATACCAAGATATAACATCAAGCACAGATGGACGAAGGATGCGTGTCAATCTCCAGACTCAAGTACATCAGCAAATGGCACAATGGCAATGTCAGAGACTACAGATTACATGCAAAAGATGTTGCTCCTAAAGAGGGTAGTGGAGCTAGCTAATAGTCGAACCACATTGGGTGAGGGAGTATTTTTTGAGGCAATGCAAGCTATGGATAGAATTACCAGTTATCGATACACAAAAGACAACAGCAACAACATGAAAGCACTTGGTAACATAGACGGAGGAGGCGTTATGCCGATCGCATGCCCACCACGCCCATCAAGACAAGGGAGGCCACAAAATACAAGCCTACACTCATGGGAGGTTGAGCAGCACAAGAAGAAACTACAGGTTATAGTGAAGGCAGGAGAGCAGATAAAAGAGAACAGATGAGGAGAACCCGAAGGGAGGCAAGACATGACCTTTAGCAAATGTGATGCAAGTGGGAAATGCAAGGAATAATAAGAGCAACTAAGCAGCGAATCGTACTCTGACGGAGCAGGGTGAGATAGGGACTCCTATTTATATATACTAGTTGTTACTGTATTGTAATGAACAATAGATCATATATAGCCTAGTGGCAGCCCGAATTCGGTGATTGGACTACTGAATAATTTAACTTCAGTAAAATTGAAGTGCTGCAATACTATTCTACACATATATGACAGTGATCCACGCATAATCCATCAGTAGCACAATACATGGTCTATGTATTAAATAAAAGCAATGTGGGATTTGGTGTGAATATGTGATGAAGTACCAAAAAGAGCCAATACAAAATTACAGCGGCACCAAAGAAGCTCATGAAACCTCATCCCATCGATTAAAAAAGATGACGAGTTCGTGGCAGGGACACATAAAGAGAAGAAGCATGTTCTCCTTGAGCCCTATCTTAGCATGCTAGGCACTAAGGAACAACGTCAATATAGTTTCGATTGGCAAGCTCTGAACTTAAGTAGGATAGATGGGGATGATCATGATCTAGAGAGTACATCTACATGGCTTGCTGGCCTATTATCAAAGAATATCTACTTAGTGATTTCAACTCCATCTTCAATCTCCAGACAGGCCTACTCAAAAATTAAATAGACATCACCTGTAGGGGCGAAAGCCCCTCCAGTTCCCTCAAAAAAGAAAGACTATATAATGAGGGTACTACCTCATGTACAAGTAACCTTTTTGAGTTTGAATAGAAGAACAATACTAGCCGCATTTGGTTCCTGTCCTCTCATAATATTTCCTTTCCATATCAGTTAGTTTTGGCTAACAGAGTATTAGAGTATAGCTGAATGCAGCTGAACCCCTTTAGACAAGGCTCCATATGGACAATAATAAACCGATGAATGCGAATGCCTATGTACGGTGCTCATGTTTGATCTGACTTTAACAGTCTACAGCAGTAGCAAAGAGAGGTTCAGGGACCTAGTGGCAAGAATCAATCATATATGGAATTAAAATACATGGTATATAACTCAGCTAGCATATGTCCAAGTAATGACTAATGGCACTTAATTTGATACAGAATGACCTGTGGTAAATAAAAATAGCATATATACCTCAGTAGGAATCATAAGTATTCGAGCCATACAGAATGTTGCTTCCATCGATGCCATCTGTCAACAGCGAGCTGGACCAAAACCATTAGACTAATGTAAAGATCCCAAATAGTATCACACTTCGGGTGCAGGATTAATGACCTCATAAGTCAATCTGACCGAGCAGCACGAAGTGACAACGAACAAGACCATCCAAAAGTGGTTCACTGATACTACCAAGTGGAGTTGTAAGATTACAGGCACTAGGCAAACACATGAATATAAGGTGCTGTTCCAAGATTACAATACTACAAATAGCTTCACGGTTTTGGTTCCACGTGTTGCAACCAATAGATCCCCTCAAGAGTTTAATTTTCTTCGCGTTTTCATTCTCTCATATGTTTGCAGATGCACTGAACCTCAATGTCACCTGAAAGAGAGATTTACAATGACAAGCATCTGACGTAAGTAGGCATAAAGAAGTAGGAATCATACAGTCTGTATTAAGCAAGATCCTTCTAGTTGATATTCCCTAAAACGACACATCAATCAAACATTAAAATATGTATTAAGCAAGTTCCTAGTAGTTGAATTCCCTAAAACGACCCTCTATTTTAAATGATTACGAAATTTATCAACTGCAATAGTTAAGGTGTAAATCTGCAGCTGTTGTTTGAAATGCAGTGAGAATCTCCACAAGTTCAGGAAGCTTAAAATTCAATGATTAACAGGACTGAGCAACTCCATGATAGCCTTTCAGTTAGTGCATTGGACTTATCTGAAACTATGTATTGACCAATGTAGCCTTTCAGATCCTTTTTATTCAGTTTGGTGCTCACACAAACCCAGGCCAGAAACTCAAATCAAGCAATAACAAGAGCTAATCCCTACCTATCTACTGCAGCTGACATGGCTGGCTTGCTAGGACGCCGAGTGCGCACTGAGATCCTGTCGTGGCGCCTTCGCATGCTCGCCGCGACTCTGGTCACAGCGAGATTACCTGCCATTATTTAGGTAGGCGAGATCTCAGCCCAAGTAATTAAACACGCCACGTGAGATCAGCAGATCAATTACTAGGGCCAAGAATCGAGAAGCACTAGTACCATGCTGCCTGGTGATGCTGTGGTCGAAGGGAAGCGCTTGAGGAGTGACGGCGTACGACGCCAGGGCCATGGGTTCAGAGTATGCTGCAGCGGCGAGGCCGAGGAACTCCTTCATGTCGCCGGAGGGGAAGCGGTACGCCATGCCAAGTAAACCCTGCGAACGCAGGGCGCGGCCCAGCCTCCGTGGGCGGAGCCAGAATCGGTCCAGAGCCCGCCACGCCCCCCACAGAACCGCGGACAGGGATTCAGTAACTTGCCTTCAGCAAGTCACAGCGTAACTTACCTTCAGCATCTAGCCCTTCAAATCAGATCCAACGGTTCAAATATGCAGCCCTTCAGCACACACCAGACTTCTGTCCAGCAGCAAACGACAGTAGAGACACAGGTACATCAGACTTGGCTGTTCCATTGCATTTTCAAAGCATAATAAAACATAGAAGTTCATACACATTTGTAATTCAGCTAATCCAGCAACTAATCAAGTGCAGCAGCTAATCAATTGAGAGACAGAGCTCAATCAATTGCTTACAAAGCTTCCATCAACTACTTACAAGTGTCGCTGCTCCTACAATCTGACATTCAGATAAAGTCCAGTTGATTGGCATTGTGGGAGATACTCCACAAAATACTATAGTTAGCCCGCAAAATACTATAGTTAGCACATATGTGTATGAAAATTCTAATTCCATTAGTTCTGTAATACTACAGTGCAAAAAAAGCCAAAGCACCTAATAGTCCTATAACGAAATCAAGCAAATTAACCTTTCTTGGTTCACTAAATCTCAAATTTGGAAGCATTCTTCATATGACTTCGTTCTATTTTGAATCAGTAAATACCAAAGACAAGGAACCCTTACTGAGATTCAGGAGGCCGCCGGCGACGCGCGAGGCCAGCGGGGTCGTGGGACGGCGCGAGTGCTCCATGGCAGCGCGAGGCCTCGGGCAAGCTTCTACCGCCAGGGCCCCGAGCGCGCAGCGCAAGCTCCATGGCAGCGCTGCGAGTCACCGGCGTCACAGCTGCTCGGTGGATCGTGGATTTTTTTTCTTTTTCTTTTGTTAAATCCAGCAGTGGACCAGTGGTGCCGTGTTCACACGCGAACAGCTTCGCGGTGCATCGGGGACACGCACCGCGCGGTAGAAGCTTGGAGCAAGCATTAACTACGGCCATTGACAGGTTCCATCAACGTACTGTAGAAGCACATGGGAGCTGAAGAAAAAGGAGGCATCATGCTAACACGTCATCGCCAGTCGCGGTTACCTTATAACAACGAACATGAGCAGACACGTTAGCACAGATGGCACGAATCTGGAAGCATGCAGGAACGGCTGATGGCAGGGAGGGTAAGTCCACTCCCGAGGACACAAACATTTAGCCTTGGAACAGCTAGCGATTTCACAAAACACCATCCCGACAAACTTTAATAGCATCATGGATTGGTGGGAAGCTGCAGCAAAATCAGTTTACAAGGATGAAGGACCTTAGGCGGGGTTTCAACACCTTGGTCATCTACATTATGTAGAAACTGTGGGGGCAATCGACAAATCTTTTAGAACAAGAGCCTTTCCGCTTGATGGGTGGCAGAGAAAACAAAAGAGTGCTTATTATAGTACATACAGGCTTTCCAAACCCAGGTGTAGGAGTCACTTTTGACTATGGGGAGGAGCATCCTAGGTGGCTCATTTCAGAAAACGAGCTATGTCCCGCCTTGTTATGTAAAGTTTGTTGCCTCATTCTTGTATATAAATTATTTTCTTTTTCGCTGAAGCTCGAAAGGCAGAGCTCGTGCCATTATCTATCTATATCTATATTTATCTCTATCTATCAATTATTATTATAAAGGAGTGAAGAAATTGAAAAATAATTTTCACCCAATAATTTCTTACCCACCCAATATCTGAACCATTGATGGTTTAGTCTCTTTAAATCTAACGTTTTCAGAGTTAGTCTGCAGTGAACTCGTAGTATAATCTTACGCGTACGTAAGATCTTACACGGTAGTCCGCGATTCTTGCCTCGGCCTGTTTTTTTTTTTTTCACCGACGACGGCGCTTACCCGCCCGCTATACCCACCTGTTCGCGCCGCGCTCGTCTCTCGCGTTTTTTTCCACCACGTAACCGCCCGCCCGCCCGTCTCCTCCAATGCGTCCACAACAAGACCACAAGCGCCGTGCTCACCTCTCGCGTTGTTTTTTCACCGCATAACCGCCCGCCCGCCCGCCCGTTTCCTCGAGGGCCTCCACAGTCGCCGTCCCTGTCGTTCCTCTCCTTGCGAGCCTCACCGGCGCACCGTCTCCTCCAGCGTCCAGCGGGGACGACAGAGACGGAACAGCGGGCGCCTGGAGGCTGGAAGAGCGAGCGTACTTCCGTATTCCGTCCCTGTGCTTGGGAGCCTCCTCGCCGTGTGGACTGCAGGCCGTCGCGTGTGTTGGCTGCTCAGGTTACGGTGTTTCAGCTTATTCTCCCTCACACAACACTATTAAATTATTTAAAATAAACCAAAATTTACTGTTCAACGGATCAGCATTCATCTCTGCGCGATCAGGAACCCAGGGGCGTAGTCAGCCACGACGGCGAGCGAAGAAAACCCCGCCGTTGAAGGACATGACGGCCAGAATCACCAGGTACCACAGCGTCACCTTCAGCACGTGCACACACGTCACCTAGCGTGCGGCAGTCCACCGCGCAGTCCGTAGCAGGCGAGAGCCACAGGCGCCTCGCACTTGCCGAGGCCGGTCCCGGTCCTACGGCGCCCTCCAGCCGGATCTGGACGCCAGGGAGATTCGTGGGCAACTCCTTGTGGATGTTAAGACCATAAGCTTAAGATAATTTGATCAGGATTATTAGCAGTAGATTAGTTATTAGAGGATTCTAAAACAATTCAATTGATGATGAAATAGTTAACGGGCAGTATACCAGAACCAGAGTATTTATACCAAGGATACCCACGTCCCCTCTTAGGACCTTTCGTCGCTGTTTAAGTTTAAGCGAAAGCAGTTCCCGATAAAATTGAGTTTTATAATGACAATAAATAAAGCCCAGGGTTAGACCATACCAAATGTTGGTGTTTATCTCCCTGAACCAGTTTTCTCTCATGGCCAATTGCACGTAGCATTGTCAAGAGGTGTTTCATGTAAGAGTACATGGAATTTGGCCAACACAAATAAGGATGTTGGCCCCACTCAAAAAATATTGTCTACATAGATGTTTTAGAGATGTGACACCTGTACGTTCAATATTTTTATTTTAATCTTATTTCAGTTCCAGAGATATAATACTACAAGCAAAATACACCGCGTTCGGCTGGTCATGTCCCAGCTTGTTCCAGCTTGTTTCAGCTTATTCTCTCACATAATACTATTGCATGTTGCCGCAGCGACGACCGAGTATTTTTAGAGCAGCAAAATGTTGGCCCGTGGAAAGATAGCCGACCCCATCGCATCCAACCCATATAAAGAATGATTTTTGTTACTTCATATTTCAGAGATATGACAAATCTGCCTAAAAAAAACTATTTATGCTAGTATACAACTGAGAAAGGGATGTAACAGATTAATGTTTTTTTCATAGCCATAGACTTAGATTTTCGATAAAACTGACAACCCTTATACCCTGTATTGTGTTCAGTAAACCAGAGGTACCAATTTATGTTCATTTCAACCTTGTTCACTAGCATTCTTTTGCTTAAAAACATAACTTGAGAAAAAAAAACATTTCAACCTTGTCATTCAATAGCATTCTTTTGCTCAAAAACGCCTTGAAAAATATTATCTCATTGTACATCAGAAACTACCTACTATAGATAATCAGATGCTTCTGTATCTCACTGGTCCAAAATGTTTTTTTTGATTCAATATGATATGCTAATTGTTGAGATACCAGGATATATGGCTAATAAAGGAACAAAAAAAATCCATTCATGCTTTAACATGATGACCAGTGTGTGCGCCTTATGATTCAGGTGCATGCACATCTCATATGTATTTCAGAATTATTTATTCATTACAAAACAATTTGTTTTTATAGCCACGCACGTGCCATTTACTCTAGTGTTCAAAAAAACTAGCGGAAAAAGAAAGGTCAATGTTGCATCTTCTGTATTAGCTGAATGGATACTAGCAGTCACCGATTTATTCAGAACTTCAGTTGGTAAAAGTATACTTGGTATTTATAGTTTATCTTCACATCTTTGCTGTCAATGGTATAAACAACTTAAGTTATCTGATGGATTTTCCTATAACAGTACGTTCTACAACTTTGAACGATTTGGTCATATCACAAAACTATAGTTACTAACAAGTCGTGATGCAGTGGAAGTAGCGTTTAGCTAACCATTTGATCTTGAACTTAGAAGATTTGAGAAGGAAGATTTGAGAAGGAAATGCTATGTTGCATGTCCCGGTAGGCCTGCTTCTTGCGAGGGTTTGGGACGGTCCTCGGGATCATGTACTCAAGCTTGATCGGCGGTTGAGCATGTCTCCCGGGGGCTGCCGAACGGTTCGCCAGATTGCGAGTGTCGCGTTCCTGCCGCCACGCGTTGATGACCGAGCGAGCATCTCGTCCACCTCCCAGTCGACTGTAGATTGGGTTTGAGGGACCTCCTGTCGGTGAAGGCTCTAGTTTAGTTTTGGTGAATTGATGAAATCCTATGTGCTAACATAGTTTATCAAAGTGATCATGAGATGGGTAGCGCTATTCCAAGTAGTAGAGCAATGGTAAAGATCATGGTGATGGTGTGGTGACCATGATGATTAAGTGCTTGGACTTGAAAAAGAAGAAAGAGAAAAACAAAAAGTTCAAGGCAAAGGTAAAACTTCGCTTTTTGGTTTAGTGATCGAGGCACTTAGCGAGTGTGATCATATTTATGATAGATGGTTGTACTATTAAGAGGGGAGCTCTTATCGGACAACTCTATCATCTAGTGCCACTAGGTGTTGGAATACATGCATATGCATTTTAGGCCTAGTGCATAATCGGTGAGAAGTGATTAACCTTAGAAAAATGTTTGTGAAAATACTAACACACCTGCACGTGATCGTGAAACACTTGGAGTGTTAGCACATTTGCAAAGGTGGTAAGAAAGGTGAAGAAACGGAGACGAAACTCGGCTTGGGGTGCTGCCACGGTGTCGGTGTCTAGAATGGCGCTGTAGACACGGTGATGAGTAAATTTGTGACTGCGCGTCTAGGCCCGGATGGTGCGCAAAGTGGACACGAAGATGTATACTGGTTCGGGCCGAATGTTCCTACGTACAGTTTCGAACTGCTCGTGTTACTAGCACTTGGTTTGTAGTAGGGGGTTACAAACTGGCGAGAGAGGGAGAGGCTCCCAAGTCTCTAGATGAAGTGGAGTCGAAGTGCTCCGTGCGTGTGATGGTGTGTGTCTTTCCTCGATGAGTTGTGTTTCAATTGGGGGGCCCCTTTAGATGCGGCCCCTACCTTCCCTTTTATAGTTTCCAAGGGGAGGGCTCATGTTACAGTTGTGGTAGAAAGGTAAAAGGGGAAAAGACGAAAGGGAAAACAAAAAGCTGGCCTCGGACGTGGCCGTCTTCCTCCTTATCCGGCGTGAGCAGTTTACCCTGTAGCGCAAGGACACAATGGGCGTCGAGCTTTTGACTTCTTCGTCCACCGGTGTAACGCGCTGTGGCCACATTTTGACCAGTGTGCTTTTGTACCATCGAGGATGGGCGGTGCGTGTGCTTGAGTTTGAGTAGAGAGGGGGGTTAGGTAGCACAGTTGTCGTTACCCCCGCCAATGTAGAGGCATGGACGCCGGTCGTGGCCAGAATGACTAGAGTCACATCGTATTGTACCACGGCTCCCATGCCCCCGTACACTGTGCATGGTCGTGCACATCCCATTTGCGAAGGTGGATGTCGTGGTGGGGGCCCATGCGGCTCCTAGTTGCGCCCGAGGGCCTTACGCGTCCCTCGGGCGAGGCGGAAGTATGCCAAGGGGGTCAGGTGCTCCCATGCTTACGTCGCAGGGGTCG